TGTGTGTACCAAGATCACTCTTAGTGGAGATCCTTTCTCCCCAGTCTTCTGCTTCTGCAGAGATCCCCTGGAGAGCTCTCCCAGTCTCCCTAACTTTTCTGCTGGTGAAATGGGGAGCAGGAACTAAGCTCTTCTGCTCGGCCCTGTCACTTGTTGGTTGAGAAGATGGGGAGCATTTGGTCTTCTTACCTCCATAGGCACAAGGGCAGGCTCTGCCCCTCCGGGGGGCCTGTTGTCACCCCATATGCCAGAGACTGGGTGAGGGAGTTCAAGTCCAGAGCAAAGAGCTACCCCAGACTGTGGCCACATATCTGAGTCCCTAATGATCTGTGTGCTCCTGGTTTCTGGGTCCATTTCCTAAGGGGTTCAGAGGTGGGAGCAGACAAAGTCAGTATTAATGGTTGTTCCAAGACCTCAGTAGTAACATTCAAATTGCTCCATCCCCAGTGGATAGTTCTGGGATCTTGTCTGACACTGTGTTTTGAGGAGGGAGAAATGGAAGAAGGTGAGACCCAGACACTGGGAGAGGGGAAAGGGAGGTGCCCTAAAAGACCAAGGGGGGCAGATAAACCTCAGCTTCACAAACCCAGGCCTCACCCTGCTCTGACTTGATAAATATAGTTGCCAGAGCTTGTACTCAGTGTCTCTTATTTTAAGATATGAAAATGGGTCAGCATTATGTAAATCAAGCCAGCCTGAGGCCTTCCTGGCCGGGTTGGGAAGCCTCCCTTCGGGTGTTGCCCTGTTGTGGATCTGCTGTCTGGTTCTCCACCCCCCTGACTGGCCACCTTCCTGCCTCCCAGGCTGGAGAAGATGACTCTGGATTTGAACAGACATGCCCTTAAGGCAAGGGCCCAGCTTCTCCCCGTTACTGCTCTTTCCTCCTGCTTTGCCTTCCCCTGACCCACCCACCGTGGTCCAGCGCTGTCCAAGCAGACGGGCAGACTACCGAGTCTGTCATTCCCCCAGCAATGCCTGATTTGGCTGGGCGAGTCAGGTCACGCAGCGCCCAGGCACCAGGCCATGGTGGCAGATGCATGGGTGTAAACTTGGGCAGTGCCCTTTAGCAGCTGTGGGACCTTGGGCAAGTTATCAACCTAGTCTGTTTTCTTATCTGTAAAATGAATGTAATAATCATATTTAGGTCATACGACTTCTGTGAAGATGACATAAGCAGGTGGGGACCCAACCCAGGAAGATCCTGAATTTTAAAGACTTTGGAATCACATCTGAAGCAGTAGGAAAACCAGCATTTTTGAGCGAGTGTAACAGTTTGAACAGTGCTTCTGAGACAATTCCAGTGGTAGCATAAAGGGGGCTTGCAGAAGTCTTGGAATGAAGCCCCTGAATCTCAGGCATCCACTCCTCTGCTGGTTCCAGGTCTCCTCACCTCTTGTTCCAACCAGCTCCCTGACGCAATGGATCTGTCCTTTAATGCAGCTTACGTAACAGGGAAGTGGAGGGGGCACCACAGGCAGGGAAGTTCCTTCTGCAGCTTTCTCTTAAATTAAGATTTCAAAAGTTTCTCTTTCAATATAAGCACCTTTTCACACTTTTAAGATGGTTTATAATCTCCAGATTTAACCTGCTAGTGCCATAGTGCAGTGTCAAGATTAGAAATTTCTGGGGAGTATTTGCATAGGAGGAATTAGTTAACATGGGTTCTTGCTCTGATCAACCCAGACTGGATGTCATATCAGGAGCCTATTGTGATAGGCAGAACAATGTCCCCCTGAGTTGCGATCATCCTAATCTCCAGGATTGTGAATATGTTACCTTACATGGCAAAAGGAAATGTGCAAATGTGATTAAGGTAAGGACCTTAAGATGGGGTGATTATCCAGGTGGGTCTAGTCTAATCACATAGGTCCTTCAGATTGGAAAACCTTTCCTGGCACTGGTCAGAGAGAGATGTGGCTAAGGAAGCCATGGATGCAAGGAAGGTGGGTGACTTCTAGAAGCTAGAAAAGGTAAGGAAACAGATTCTCCCCTAGTCTCCAGAAAATAACACAGCCCAGTGAGCCCCATTTTGAACTTCTGACCTCAGACTTTAAGGTGATAGGTTTGTACTGTTTAGACACTAAGTCTGTAGTTTGTTATGGGAGGTATAGAAAAGGAGTATACACTTACTGTGTGCCAATTTGGTGCTAAGCACAGGGGAATCAGCAGTTGAAATAAAATGAGACAAACAGGATCCTTTTTCCAAGGGAACTCACATTCAATGGAGGAGAAACAAGACTTACAAACAATCCTACACTACCGTTTCAGGCAGAACACTATGCAGACAATAGAGCAGGGAAGGGGCTGCTGAGAACACTGTCCACTTTGATGGACACAAGCTGGGGGGGCAGGCAAGCAGGCTGTCCTCACAGCAGGGTCCCAAGGTGCTGCCCCTGCCTGGGGATTACAGAAGACCTCACAGAGCAGGTGACATGGGAAGGGGTTCTGTGAAGCCGAGTAGCAGTTTGTCAGGTGGATGATGACAGAGGGGAGTTTTGGGCCCAGGGAATGGCATATGCAAAGTGATAAGGGGATGAAAAGTGTGTTCAGAACTGTGAGGAGCTCAGTGTGGCTGAAGGAGGGGGAGCAGCAGGGTGGTTCAAGCAACAGTGTGGACCTCGGGCATCTCCAGCACCCCTGCAGATGGAGAGAAAACAAACTCCAGATTTGGAGGTCTGAGCCCCAGACATCACTGCCGTGTCTCCATTTTCTTGCACTCTTTTCCTGTCCCCTGAAACAGATATGTTTGTCATTCTACAATCAATCCCTGATGGTTTCACAGTACAAATAGTAATTAAAATTACTTACCAGTTAAGTCACTCAACTCCAAGAAAAAATATTTTTTTACTGAAATAAAATTTAAGTCCAGAAATAACTAGAAGGTGGATTCTGTGGCCTTTGCCACCTCCTGGCAGGTCTCAGGGTACCTACTACTCGGTCTCAAGAACCCCTTCCCCTGTCACCTGCTCTGTGCGGTCCTCTCTGATCCCCAGGTGGGGGCAGCACCTTGGGGACCTGCTGGGAGAACAGCCTGCTCGCCTGCCCCCATCTACATGTGCCCCTCAAAGTGGACATGTTCTGTTTTCATCTGGCCCTGCACCCTGCTCTATTAGGGTAGGTGTTCCCTGATCGAAGAATCTCCCTGTTGAGAGGAGGATCCAGCAGGTCTGCTTTTAATTCAGCAAGGTTTACTGGGAATCTGTTAGTGGCTGGCTTTCCAGGTATGAAGATGAATAAAGGCCTTGGCCCTGAGCTCAAAGTCCAGCAACTAGGGTGACAGTCCTGTAAATTCACGACAAATCCTAGCACATGTTAAACGCAGGTATGGAAGATGTGCTATTGAAACCTGTCTTATGTTCCCGTGGCTGTCATGACAAATTACCACAAACTGGGTGGCTTCAAACAACAGAAGTTTGTCCACTCACAGTCTGGCATCCAGAAGTCCAGAGTCATGGTGGAGTTGCCCTCCCTCTGAAGCAGAGAATCCCTGCTTGCCTCTTCCAGCTTTTGGTGGCTCCAGGTGTCCCTGGTTCATGGCCACATCCCTCCAACCTCTGCCTCCATCTTCACATCCCCTCCTCTTCTGTGCCTGTCTCTTTGGGGCCCCCTGGGTAATACAGGATGATCTAATCTCAAGACCCATAACTTCATTACATCAGCAAAGGCTTTCCAAATGAGGTCATTCACAGGCTCCAGGGATTTGGACATGGAGATGTCTTCCTGGGGGCCATCATTCAACCAACTGCAGATCTCTAAGTAACAAATGACCAATGTTCCTTGAGGACTTCAAAGTGCAGCATCTGAGCCCTTGACAAGTACCATCTCATTTCATCCCCTAGCACTCAGGGAGTTGGGCAGTCTGCCTGTCCTGGCCCAGGGTTTCGAAGAAGATAGGGACTGTCTCACCAATGGGTTTCAGCCCCAGGCAAGTTCACTCTTGATTTGGTGAGACTGAAAAATGACAATGGAATGTTCTTGGGGTGAAAGGTTTACACTCAGCTTTATTCTCACTGGTGGCAGGTCAAGCACTAGAATCCCATCCGCCTCAGGGCAAGTCTGCGTGCATGCAGCAAGCAGGTCTCTGTCTCAGAGCCTCTCTGTCCCTGTAGCCGTCTCAGCCTCTGTCCTAGGCACTGCTACCATTCCAGCCTCTACTCTCCTGAAGCCATGCAGCCCAGAGCACTGGGTGGAGCTCTTACAGAGTCAGTAATAACATATGTGCAGTGGGCAAGTGGACCAGGGTCAGGCGAGAATCCTGTCCATAGGAACTTTCATTTTCTCTGCAGGGACCATGTTGATTTGAATTTGGAAAGATTGCCTCCCACTGCCAGTTGGGGTGCAGAAAATGAGTTGGGGAGGTGAGGGGAAGGGAGGGTCAAGGGTGATTCCTGATTTCTGAGATGGGGGCAGGTAGGGAGGAGCAGCTACTGGAAGGTGGATGGTTTTCATTTGCATTGAGGGCTTTGAGCCAGCCCTTCTCTAAGCCCCTCTAGCCTGACCCCCAGGGGTCTCTTAGCCTCATTCTTCTGGGTGTGGTGACTTTCTATCCATGAGAGGGACCGTGGAAGTGGAGGTCCCATCTCCTCCTGGTCTGGGCCTTTTCTAGCCATTTCTTGTTATTCTAAAATCTTTTTCTGCTCCTTCTCATCCCCAGCAGGCTAGGGAGAGGCTTGTTAGCACATATTTCTATGGTGCCTCTTCCCAGAGGGGCCCTGGCTTGAGTGCTTTTAGAAACGTGATATTTCCATAGAGGCCTTGGGATTACTCAGCATTCACACATTGCCTCACACTCCGTGTGCATGTCTTCCTCTCCCCAAATTTAACCAGTCTGGGCCTTTATTTCCTACCTGGGCTGCAGCACAAGGATGATTCAAGTCTCTCTCAGCTCGGACATCCAGGGAGCCACGATTCTCCAGGCTTCCTCTGGCTATGAATTAAGCACTAACCCTTTGAAGCTGAGTGTGCCCTTGGTTAGAGAAGCAGTAAGTGACCAGAGGGCGTTGCCCAGCATTCCTGCCTTAGCTGGACTCGGGCACCGTCTAGAGCACCTGAAACTACTCTGGTTCCCATTCACTACCTTCTTACTCCCAATGACCCCTTCTAGGGTTAGTGCTGTGTCATCCCAGCACAAGGACACTGGGGCTTGGGGACGTGGAATAACATCCAGGGTCGCATGCAGCATCGGGCCAGTGCCCAAGCTGAGCTCTCTGACTGCTGAGGGTCAGCTCCTGCTCCTGTGACATGCCTCTTCTCCAGGTGACAGGATCCAAGCCTGTGAGCTAGCAGGAGTTGATGAGGGGTTGGGGTCCCATATAGGACATTTATACATTGTGTGCCACATCCTCTCTGCCCGCCCATCTACTCTGCCCCTGCCGTGGGCACAGCCTGGAGGCACCTTGCATCTCTGCACTGAGTGTCTTATTTCCTGCCCAGGCACTCCCCGCTCAGCCTCAGGTTTGCACCCACCTGGGAGTCCTCGAGAGTGAATACCCTTATCCAATGGGGGCAGGAAGCAGGTGGATGAATACTCCCTTCTTCTAGCCCTCCAGGGGAAAGTTCTGAGGTGCCTTTCCAGCACCTCAGAGGGTCCCCAGAGGGCCTGGCCCATCATCCACAGCAGTGGCTCATCAACCACCATTGTACTGCCTGGCTTTCCCATCTTCTTTCCCCAGGAATCACCTGCTCAATTAAACCTGAACACAGGCCCCTATCTCAGGCTTTGCTTTGAGCTGAGGCCCCAGACAGGGCTCTCCTGGGGTCCAGCACCAGGGGAGCTAATGATCTTCTCTCCTCCCACTGCTGTTTCCCCAGGACACCAGGGCTCTGCCCTGATCTATTGTTTGCTGGATTCAGGAGCCACCACATTTCCCCAGGGGGCCAAACCAGTCTTGTTTATCCAATAACAATTAATTCTCAGCAAACATCTATAGTCTCAAACCATATAAACAAAAGGTACCTTCAGCAAAGAGGTATTCTATCCAAGATCCTGGGGTAGCATGGGGCTCAGGATGGCCTTCAACCCTTCTACCCGAGCCCGTGCTTCTGTCTTCACTTTAGGACACGTTTAGGCCTCAGATTGCATGTGTATGCACATGTACGGTTTAAAGATAGCTTTACTGTGTCTTTTCACTACAAAAGCGGTACATGCCAGTTGTCCAGGTTACATGCAAGCTATACAAAACATATAGCTTGGAAACTGAAGGCACCTCCTACCCTTTTCTTGAGTGGTTATTTTTCATTGCTCTTGGACCAGGACCTTTCTAGCATCAAAGAATGCGGGCTTCTGGTCTCCTCAGGGACAGCCAGCGCACTTATGAAGTGCCATTTCTTCTTAGGGGAGCCATCCGTTTATTCCATGACTGTTCTGAGTACCTACTGGGTGCCAGGTTTGGGAGGGGCAGCTCGCCATGCCTGTCTCATGCCTAGCTGCCTGTCTCTGACTAGCTGTTTTCCCAGATCTCATCTGTGGGCAAGAGCTTGAGCAGCTATCTTGCTTTGGAATAGTCACTCAGTTGCCTCTGCCTCCCAGGGAGGCACACAGGGCTTCCCACATCCACAGTAGGGCTGCACCTGTAGCTCAGAATGCAGAGCAGGGGTAGGAATGTGCTGTGAGTGCTTTCCTGCTGTGAGCCTTGTGAAGAGGCCCCAGCCCCCTGAGGCCACCCCTTTCAGGCCCAACTGGATCCTTCCCTCCAGTCTGGAAAGGCCCCGTTTCAGCTCACCTCTGAATGCGCACAGCTGAGGGTCTGTCTTGTTCGTGGACCTGGTGTCCTGGCAGAGCTGGAAGGTGTTCTGAGGGCACAGGCTGGGTGGCTCCTCTGGTCTTTCCTGATGGCTGACCTGGCTGAGCATCTACTGTGTGCTGTCTGCATAGGTCTGCTGAACAGGTACTCACAACAAAGAGAGGAGGATTATGGGAGGGCAGGGAATGGGAGCAGTGAGACCAGCAGTCAGGGAAGGAGACTGCAGATTTTACCAAGAGTATCTGTGTGTGGAACCCTCTCCCTTCACGGGGTGGGGATGGAGGAGAGGCTGGGGCACAGGTGGTGGCAGGAGGCCAGCGAGGAACCCATAGGGGCTGGGAGCTGGCCCTGGCCTTGTCAAGCAGGGGAGTCAGGAGAACTCCAGAAGTTGGCATGTTACCAGGAAAGGGGAAGGGACTCCCAGAGGGCATAAAGTAGGCCCCTTGTGCCAAAGCAGGCCCAAACAGTATTTATCAGCTTTTTTCCTTTTATTAACATATGACCTTTTGTAAGACATAAAAATCACACGTTAACATCATGTGATAATTAAAAATAAATGTTCGAACTCCAGACAAAACAATGGGGCAAAGTGTGGCCGTGAATAGTAATCTGCATAGATTACTCTCCTGCTAAATCTGATGTTATGTCCCCCACCTTTAGAATCAAATCCCCGACATGTTTGGGCTGAGGCCGGCAGCTTTTCAGAATTGATAGAAGTGGGAGAAACAGCTGATAGAATCAAGTCTTTGATGAATCTATTCCCTGAGGGATGTGAGCTGACACCTGAGGTTCTGGGAAGAGCGCTCAAGGATGACTCTCAGGAGCTGGAGGAGGCATCTCCATCCAGGACCTGGATGGCTGAATTTCTTTCCTCTCTGACCTGTTTCTTCCGCTCTCCCCAGGGGAACACGTCCCTTAATGCTGCTGGTTGTCCTCAGCAAATCCCTCCCTGACACCCGCACCCCACCCCCCACCATGCATATGTTCCAAAACAACCTATCTCCCTCCTCTTCCTTAACCTAAATTCCTAAAGGCTGTGGTTGATTTTGGCAAGGTATTCTGTCAAATCCAAGGAAGGTAATTTATACTAATGTGTAAGAAACTGATAGGTGTACAACCATTCAAAGGAGCATTTGCGTTTTTAAGGAGAGCTTGCCAATTCAAACGCATCTCTGACAGGTGGAATATGCACAGGAGATCTTTTTGAAGCCGGGTCTCTTGCAGTTCTACGTGCCAGGTGCCTACTGGGCCACCCCTACCTCTGCAGGAACAGGGATCAGCTGCGGGCTATTTTACGGAAAGCTCAGGCCGCGAGTTCCAAGTGTTTGGGCTGCCAGGGCTGCCAGGGACACTTAGGCCCCGCGCATCTGGATGGGGAGCACCCCCCAAACTCCAGCCCCGGCCTCTGCCGGCCCAGAAGGCAGCCGCAGCGGAGGAGGGGCGTTAGGGGTGCCTTGAGCGCCCCTCACTTGCGGGAGGGGCACGTCCAGGGCTTTAATTCTCTGAGAACCGGCCTGCGGGAGGAGTTAATTCGCCCATCCTTCCTGCCCGCCGCCCACCTCTGCGCTTCCACGCTGCAGTCGCCGCCCAGTGCTGGAGCTTGGGGCCCCTGGAGCCCATCCAACTCTCGCCCCCGCGCTGCTCGCCTTCTCCGCCTTCCCCCGCGGGTCCCGGGTCTGGAGCGGGGCACTCCCCCCACCCACAACTCCGAGACGCGCTCGCCGAGAGGGCGGTGACTGCCGGGAGGGAGGAGCGCCGCCCGCCTCCGGGGGCCCGGAGCGCGCGTGGCCCCGGAGCCGCAGCCGCCAGCGCCGCGCGGGGACTCACTGTGCCGTGCGCCGCGCCCGGACTCGGCTCGGCTCGGCGCTCGGGCTGGCGGGCCAGAGGATGCTGGCGGGCTTCCCCGGCCTCGGCCCGCGCCCCCGCCGGGAAGGGCCCCGGGTGCGCCCCTAGCCGCGCCGCCGCCGCGATCACAGCGGGGCCGAGAGGGAGGGGTCCCTCCGCGCAGCTCGCGCCGGCCCCAGCCCCAAGGGGCGGGTTCCCCCGAATTTTCCAGCCGCCGCCGCCGCCTCCTTCCTGCGGCCGGGTGCCTGTGGATGCTGAGGGACAGCCCCGCGCCTCTCCCGGCCGGATCCCGGGCCTGACGGCGGGGGAGCCGCGCTCCGGCCGGGGTCGCGGGCCGTGGGGAGCAGCCCCCGGGCGGGGCGGGGCGGCCCCGCGGGGAGCAGCGCCCGGGCGCGCTGAGCCTGCTGCCCCGCCCGCCGCACGCGTGACCCAGCCCTGCAGCCCGCGCGGGGACCGGCCCTGGCCACGCGGCTCTCGAGTTCCTGCACAGGTAATCGCAGGGGCAGGGCGGGCCGTCGAGGGCAAACACTGCCCGGGAGGTGGGGGGCCGGAGTCGCCCAGGGCTGGGTGGGAAAAGGAAGTAAACAGAAGGAAGATTCAGGAATCCCTGGGATGGCTCTGTTTCGGGCACATTTCATCCCCAGCTTCTAAGGCTTGGGCCTGGAGGAGATTTAGGTGAGGAAATCAGGGGCAGAGAGACCGGGGTGCAAGGGATGGAGAGGTAGCCAGGCCCCTGGGCAAGCCAGAGACAGGAAAGTGAGTGACTAGGACAGGACTATGTGTGGGGTCGGTGGTGGCAGGAGCATGGGGGAGGCGGAGAAGGCCCTCCTTCCGGAGCGTCAGACAGCAACGAGTGTTTTACGAGAGTTAGGGTGGCCATGGAGAAACCACCGGTAGGAAGGAAGAGGAGCTGCTTCTTAGGGATGATGTGCTTTTAAGTTCCAGATGCTCAGCGGTCCCTGCGCCCTGGATACCTGCTCTGCGTTTCTGCCCGAGGTGGCCGGCCCTCAGCCTTCCCCTGCCCTCAGAGAGCCCTGGTAGGTGGCCCGCCCCAGGACCCTTGCTCTGTTCCCGGAGCACCTTCCAGGCCCAGCAGAAGCAGACACTAGCCGGTATGCCGCGGAACCAGGGCTTCTCCGAGCCCGAGTACTCGGCAGAGTACTCCGCCGAGTACTCTGTCAGCCTGCCCTCTGACCCAGACCGCGGGGTGGGCCGGACCCATGAAATCTCTGTCCGGAACTCGGGATCCTGTCTGTGCCTGCCTCGCTTCATGCGGCTCACCTTCGTGCCTGAGTCCTTGGAGAACCTGTACCAGACCTACTTCAAAAGACAGCGCCACGAGACCCTGCTGGTGCTGGTGGTCTTCGCAGCTCTCTTCGACTGCTACGTGGTGCTCATGTGCGCTGTAGTCTTCTCGAGCGACAAGCTGGCTCCCCTCATCGTGGCCGGCATCGGGCTGCTGTTGGACATCATCCTCTTCGTGCTCTGCAAAAAGGGGCTGCTCCCCACCCGGGTTACCCGGAAAGTGGTGCCCTACTTCCTGTGGCTGCTGATAACAGCCCAGATTTTTTCCTACCTGGGCCTGAACTTCGCTGGCGCCCATGCGGCCAGTGACACGGTGGGCTGGCAGGCCTTCTTTGTCTTCTCTTTCTTCATCACGCTGCCCCTCAGCCTCAGCCCCATTGTCATCATCTCTGTGGTCTCTTGTGTTGTCCACACACTTGTCTTGGGGGTAACTGTGGCCCAGCAGCAGCAGGATGGGCTGAAGGGGATACAGTTGCTGAGGGAGGTAAGTCTGACCTTCCACCCCACCTACTGGTTTCCCTTCCCACCAGCTCTCACCCAAGGTGGCACCTGTTTTGAACGTGGGGATGGCATTGTTTTCTTTGCTCTTGAGTCAAAATGTGCTCAGGGATGGGGTGGGGGTGGGGGCTCTCTGGGGCTCTCAGCTGCGTGTACTTGGCTCTAGGGAAGGGAGGATGCCAGGACATTGGGCCTCAGGGCTACCTGTGCCCAGCCTGTGGGGATGGCAGGAAGGCCCCGACCCCAGGCCTGGCGCTGAGGCAGCATTCTCTGTCACTGACACCAGCAAGGAAGGTCTCCTGCAGGGACAAAGGGCTCCCACCTCTCGTGGACTAGCTTCGGCAAGTGACTGATGGGTGCACTCCATGGCCCTCTGTCAAATGGGGACAGTATCTATCTGCCTGCATAACAGTTAGTATCAAGATCAAAGGCCATATGAGCACAAGCATACTAGAAAATGTGGAGGGCAAGATAGGATTGTTATAGATCCTGCTTCTGTGTCTGGGAGCTTGGGGATGCCCTAAGTAGTTAGGTGATGGGGGGAGTGTCATGGGAACGCAAACTGGGACAGTGGTGTGGCCATGGTGGTGGAGGAGATCTGCTAGTCCTGGGGGCTGCCTTCTGCGAGAAAGGGTAGAAATTTGGCCTCAACTTAACTAGGAGACAGTATTATGCTCCCAGCAGGAGCCAAGCCCTTGGCTAGGTGCTGAGGGGCTGCAGAGACCAGGAGGTGTGATTCATGGCCTTCTGAGTTTATTATCTGGTAACACATCTAAGTGACTCCCTCCGATTGGACTAGAGGCAGTGAAATCCACAGTCATTTGTCCCATCTGCTAACTCATTTTAAAAGTAAACCCAGAATTGGAAAGTGGCCTTCCCAAGGCCACACAGCCAGTTATGGCAGTCGCGTGGCTACTGTTCGTTGCTTAATCCCCGTTCCAGTGCTCTTCCTACTACATCTCACTATTGCCTCTATCTCGGCCAAACTCATTATCGTTCTCTCTTGGGACTGGGGGCTGAGTCTCCAGTGGTCCCACGGTGCTCTTGGTGGTTGATGCAAGAGCCCTGTGGGGCTGTCCCATTGCCTCCCACTTGGTTACACAGGTTTTTCTGTTTTAACTTTTTCCTGGTTCTTGGACCAAGATTCTTCCTGTTTTCCCATTCCAGCTTGTGCAGTGCAATGTCCTTTCTCGCAGAAGCATTGGGCCTCTCAATTCTGCAGGAGCCCAGCTGTGGGCTGGTGCATATGGATTCATGAGGGCACACCAACGGGTCTCTTTGTTTGCCTCCCAGTGCACTGTGCACATAAGGTGACAACCTGCCATTACTATCTTGACTTCTGGGAGGTTAACTTCATCTTGTGCCTCTGCCAGCTGAAGGTCCTGCTGGAAGCTGCTCAGGGAAGAATAGACAAGAGCCATTCCTAGTGGGAATCAGTATGAAGCACAGTTTGGGGCAAATAGGCAGGTGGGCAAGGCAGTATTTGGGGTCTGGGACCCAACTTTGAACCACTGCCTTCTACTGAATGGCCATTTCTGGTCCTTTCCTATCTGCCAGGGTCTGTGGACTGCATTAGTTTCCCATATGCTTTGCTGTCCATTAAAGGGGCAAAACAAATTTTCCCCACTGGAGAGGAAACAAAAAAAAAAGCAGATTAAGTCAAAAATAACAATCTTAGCATCCCAGGAGAGCATGGCCTTGCCATGGAAGCGGTGTCCTGGATGCAGCTTTGGGAATGGAGGGGAGGTGCCTTTCAAGGTCCATTTGGGCCTGAGATGGAATGCAGGAGGCCCCAGCTTCAGTGGGCTGTGTTCCAGAAGTTTCTGAGTCACTTGTTTGGAACTGATGTGACTTTTTGAAAGGTGCCTGGGTCCCAGGCCCATCCACCACTCTTACTTAAATCACAGTGTCCCTGCATCCCCTGTGATGCTGTGGGGAGAACCCTGGGACCCATCTCCCCCAGCTGTGGAATGAGGCGACACACCTGCCTGCTGTTCCTCTAGGCCCATGTTACCAGCTGGGATGGGGGCGCCAGCAAGGGTAGGAGGAGGCAGGAGCTGGAGGACAGGGTGGCCAGAGCCCCGCACCCTCCCCTACCACAAGGCAACACCTGGAGCTTTCTCCAGACTTCTGCACCTCCTTGCTTTTCTTTCTCCTGTCTACAAACTCCCCTTTCCTTTTCTTCCCTCATCACCAGTTGGCTCCAGCCTGGGACTCCCTCCTGGGGTGGTGGAGGACAGTTAGCAGCAGACCCTGGGTTTCCGGGGGCTTGTAACTGCTCTTGTTGCGTTGCTCTTCCAGTGTCCATGTCCTCTTCCACCGCATCCTTCATCCCCCAAGCCTGTGCTCAGCTCTGTGGGAGAAAGAGAGAAGGGACGTGGGGACCCCAGGGTGGCCTGAAATGTTGGCTAAGCCCCGCAGCCTGCCCTGGGCTCTTCTCACGGGAGGCTGGCAGGTTGAGGTTCTGACAGGAGGAACAGGTGGAGTAAGGGGATGTGTACAGTCAGGGCTGTACTGTTGCTGGGGCTGCTTTTGTTATGGAATGAGGACATGTTACTGAGCCACAGGTATGGGTCTAGTAGCCTGCAGGGTCTGGGAATCAAGGGGTCACACAATGGGTAATCAGAGGCTGTGGTGGAGGATAGCTGGGCACAGGGGTGGGAGGGCAGAGTGAGCAGTAGCTGGTAGGGTTTCCCTATATCCCTCCCTTGCCTGGGTCTGGGGGCCACTGGGCCTCTTATGGCACAACCTGCTCAGAAAATGAGGTGATGAAACAGGAGGTGACTGAGAGTTGAGGGTAGGACCAGGCAGCTACTGATCTGTGAGGATGCAGGGGACAGATATGCCACCATGATGGTGGGAATCATTCCTAATGCCAGGGGCTGTTCTCAAGACCCTCACATGCACCCACATTCACCTCTTTCTGATGGTTTTCTCTGGCGGGGGGAGGGGGCTATACTAGACTTCTTTATTGAAGTGTAGTTGATATTCTTATCTTGGTTTCAAGTATATAACACAGTGGTTTAACAGTTACCCATATTATTAAATCCTCACCCCCACTAGTTCAATTACTATCTGTCAACATAGGAAGATGTTATAGAATCATTGACTATATTCTCCATTCTGTACCACCATCCCCATGACCAACTTATGTTATGATTGAGAATTTTTGTGCCCTTCTATCCCTAACCACTCCCCCTCCCACTCCACCTCTTCCCCCATGGTAACCACCAGTCACTTCTGAGTGTCTATGAGTCTATTGCTATTTTGTTTATTTTGTTCTTTTTGTTTTTAGATTCCATAAGTAAGTGAAATCATGTGGTATTTGTCTTTCCCTGTCGGCTTATTGCACTTAGTTTAATACCTTCTAAGTCCATCTATGTTGTCACAAATGGCTGGATTCTTTTTTATGGCTGAATAATATTCCACAGTATATATACCATATCTTCATCTGTTCATCTATTGATGGACATGTTAGTTGACTCCATATCTTGGCTATTGTAAATAATGCAGGAATAAGCATAGGGGTGCATATATCTTTTCAAATTAGGGATATTGTTTTCTTCAGGTAAATTCCTAGAAGTGGTAATCCTGGGTCATTAGGTATTTCTATTTTTTAGTGTTTTGAGGAAACTCCATACTGCTTTCCACACTGGCTGCACCAGTTTACATTCTCACCAACAGTGTAAGAAGGTTCCCTTTTCTCCACATCCTTGTCAACACTTGTTCTTTCTCATCTTTTGGATAGTAGCCATTCTGACTGGTATGAGATGATATCTCATTGTGGTTTTCATTTGTGTTTTCCTGATGATTAATGATGTGGAGCATCTTTTCATGTGCCTGTAGGCCATCTGTGTTTCTTCTTTGAAAAAATGTTCAGGTCCTCCACCCATTTTTTAATTGGGTTATTTGGTGTTTTTTTTTTTTGGTGTTGAGTTGTATGAGTTCTTTATATATTTTGGATGTTAACCCCTTATCAGATCAATCATTTATGAATATATTCTCCCATACTGTAGGCTGCCTTTTTGTTCTGCTGATGGTGTCCTTTGCTGAACAGAAGCCTTTAGTTTGAAGCAATTCCACTGTTCATTTTTTATTTTGTCTCTTTTGCCCAAGGAGATGTGTCCAGGAAATAATTGTCATGCTTATGTTCAAGAGATTTTGCCTGTGTTTTCTTCTAAGAGTTTTATGGTTTCATGTCTTATATTTAGGTCTTTAATCCATTTCAAGTTTACTTTTGTGTGTGGAGTTAGTGATCCAGTTTCATTCTCTTGCATGTCGCTGTCCAGTTTTGCCAACACAGTTATTGAAGAGACTCTTTTCCCCATTGTATATACATGGCTCCTTTATCATATATTAATTGAACATATATTCATAGGTTTATATCTGGGCTCTCTATTCTGTTCCACTTATATATGGTGCTGTTCTTGTACCATACTGTTTTGATTGCTGTAGTTTTGTAGTATAGCTTGACGTCAGGGAGTGTAATCCCCCCAGCTTTGTTTTTCTTTCTCAGGATTGCTTTGGCTATTTGAAGTCTTTTGTGGTTCCGTATGAATTTTAGGATTATTTGCTCTAGTTCATTGAAAAATGCAGTTGGTATGTTGATAGGGATTCCATTGAATCTGTAAATTGCTTTGGGCAGGATGGCCATTATGACAATATTCTTCCTATCCATGAGCACAGGATAGATTTCCATTTATTGGTGTTTTCTTTCATTTCTCTCATGAATTCATATAGTTTTCAAAGTATAGTCTTTCACCTCTTTGGTTAGGTCTATTCCTAGGTATTTTTTTCTTTTTTGATGCAATTGTAAATGGAATTGTTTTCCTAATTTCTCTTTCTGCTAGTTCATTGTTAGTACATTGGAAGACAACAGATTTCTATGCATTAATTTTGTGTCCTGCAACTTCGCTGAATCCAGTTATTAGCTCTAGTAGTTTTTTGGTGGAGTCTTTAGGGTTTTCTATGTATAGTATCATGTCA